TAAAAGGGCTGGAGCTGGGGCGAGCAGGGCAGCCATGGGGCAGGGGTTGGGGGGGGACTCGTGACACAGCCCCTCCTATGCAGTGTGGGGCAGCAGGGATTGCCTCCCCACTGGGCAGCAGCCAGTGAGTAGGGGCTGTTTTTAAAGCACCAGGAGCTGGGGTGGGCAGGGGATGGGGCCTGGCAGGGGTTCCCCCATTTTCCCCTCCCTCCTCCTCCAGCCCCCCTGCCCCCTACTTACCAGCATGGAGTCCTGGTCCAGCTCCCTGCTCAGAGAGCTTCAAATTGATTTGGACCTTTTAATTGGTCCCCTGATTTGATTTAGATTTGGAGATTCAGCCACCAAATCGGGTAGAATCTCCTCACAGTCGAATCAGCACCCAAAGCTTTGCACAGCCCTACTGGCAGAGAAGAGGGAGCAAGTACTAAAGACAATCTGGTGCCTTGGGAGGGCCCTGGGGAAGGGGGTATACAGAGAACTAACAACTGCTTATGTGAAACGTGGAGGAGCCCTGGGGGATTGAGTATGCCTAAGAGGACAGTGTATGATGGCCCATGAAGGGCCTGGGGCATAGGTACACCCCACGGACCAAGCACTGTTTATGAGAGCCCAATACAGGTCTGCTTTTGGGGGGTTTTTTCTCTGCTCGTTTTGGTAATAACATTTGGTGGACTAGGATGGTACAGAGACTGCACAGCAGAATACCCAGTACCTTGCGATTTTCTATGCATTTTTTCTGTCTCTGATTTCTATTTCTTTTGTTGATTTTGGAGCAGGAGGCAGGCAAAAACCCCTTTTTAGGTGGAAGGTGTGGGAGAAGGTCAGAGCCCAGACAGCCAGGGCCCTGACTAAATCAAGGCAGGCCAGAACCCAACAGGGGCTGAACACTGCCTGATAGAGAAGAGCAGATCCTGGCACTGCCCAGTCAGACCTGTGACCAGGGGAAGGGTAGGGGGAAGTAAAGCACCTACAGCCCAGGCACAGATTACCTAAGGCAGCCTTCTCAAAACAGCATCTCAATTATAACACAGAGACAGGGCAGGCAGCTGGGTGCCATCTACTAGGGGGCACCCAGCTGCCCCTGGAGATGCACCCTGTTATACCAGGTCATTAACATCATTTTCCTTTTAACTAATGCAATGGGAACAAACTTCAAAAAGCATACATCATATTTTCTGACTACACAGAGCTACAGTTTCCAAATGGAGAATGAATAATGCTTATAGAGGAACATTTTCTAATCCATGCAGCCTATCGAATCAAAATGCATTTCCAGAACAGCTTGTCAGAAAATTATATTAAATAGTTATTTTGTTGCTTGTTCTTTTCATAATAACATTTCATGTCAGTCTAATTTCTAAGTCTTTCCACCTCTGAGAGCTGTTAATATGGAGCTGCTTAATTCTTTAGACACACTCCAGGTTTTTGGGGGTGACAAAGCACAATGGTATTATATTTGAAGCCTAATCATAGTCTGTTTCCAAAGTGAGGTTTTGAGATTCCACTCTTATCATTCAGGCAGAGCATTAGAAATGTTTTAGACTGCTTTAGTTTTCAGAGGCTCCCAGAACAAATGCCATATGTCAGTATTTAACACGAAGAAAGATTTAATTCCTACCCAGAGTCTCTTTTATCAGCCTACATGCACCTGGATTTATATAAAATTGGGGCTGTTAAGATTGGGTGGTGCCCACGGGTCCATAAATTAACTTCCACCCTTATTAATATTTAACACATTTCATACCAACTAGATTCAGCAAGTCATCGGTACTTCTGTTCTTGTGTGCCTGCCTCAGAAGCTTCTGGAAAGTTTAGTCAAGGCCGTAACCTAAGGGCAGAGTTGCAATATGGCATTATATAAACCGTTTTAATTCATGTAATCATTTGTTAAATGCTTTTAAGGTATTTAAAAACTACAGCATAAACAAATGCCAAGGCAACACTTGCTTTTTCCAAGCAAGGCCCCTTAAAAACTGAAAATTGACTCCACTTGTTACTTAATTGCTGCTACCTTTGGATGGGGAGGGGGGCGCAATTTGCAGATAGAATATTTATAAGGCTTCTGGCAGATGTTTTGTTAAAAACGCAACGGGATCTGAACTACAGCTGTGGGATCAGACCCCAATTGCACCACATTGCCAATTCAGGAAGCACAGGATCATGCACTAGCGAGCTGGGTGCTCAGTGCCCGCGTGGCTGGGAGCCCTGGTCATCTGATGGGAGCTCCCAGCCACAGGAGCACATGGAGCCCTTGGGGCCGGCCACATTTGTGATGTGATGGGAGCCAGCACTTCTGTGTAATAACTTTGTGGCTTATTCTATTTGATCACATTATTAAATTGAGCGAGTGTGGCTGGGTTACTACTTAAAAGACACTAAGTGGTTAATCCTGTCTTAAACATAACATCTGTCAGGGGTCTAAGAAATGCCACAAGCTTCGCTGCTGCTGTCCAGCTTTCCAGTCAGTTTAGCCCTCTACAGATAAAGGCTGCCATGGGTATAGTCATCACCTTCCGATGCAGTCTTTCGCAATTAATTCATCCAAGCATTACTTTTATTTGCTCTTCTCTGAGGTGTGTGTCCTTACACTTGTTTGTTGCAACTGCCTTCTGCCAGAAATTCAATTTAGTAGGTGTCAGGAGATCGCAACATTTTCTGGTAAAATACTGTCAATCATTATGAATGTATTTATTGGCTGAACTAGATCTTCAGTGGAAGGCGCTGACTACCTGTAACCAATACTTCCCTTCCCCTCAAGGAATCACAGTGGCTTGGAGAATTTACTTGAAGCAGGAGCTAAAAATCTGAGCTGGTTCATATGGAGAAGAATTTGACTGCCACATTTTCCAGATGTTTCCTTATAGCAAGTGTGGGGTTTAATCTTAGATGGAGGGGATTATTTGTTAGATGTATATGCTGCCCTTCTGAATAGGCTCAGGACAGTTTACAATAAAAGAATACAGACACAGAATAAAACACTACAATAAGAACAAGTAAACGGTCCCCCTTCCATCCTTAAGAAAAACAGCCTGTTAAAAAAAACAAACAAACCCCACCTTACCCGCGTCCACAAATTCTAACCACTATCTCTGACTGCCCCCAACCTAACTCACGTCTTTTTTTTTTATACAGGTAGCACAACAGCAGTTCTTTTTAAATGCACGCACTCCCTAACAGATAGATATCTGCACCGAAATTACTTAAATTAGCCCTCCTGGCTTGGGACAGAACTAACACATAAATCAGTATCAGTGATTGGGCAAGGACCCAGGTTGCCCATTTGCTGTGGTAAGATCCAGGTTTGCTCTTTTAAAGGAGAAAAATGTGGGAAATGGTGGGTTTCCCCTTGCAGGCTGGAACTGCCAGCCTGCAAGGGGCAGGAGGATGGTGGTCAAGTTGGGAGCATAATGTGCACATGTATGCACACACGTGGCCACCAGGCAGCCTGGAGAGCAGCTCCTGCAGGTAAGTCGGGACTGGAGGGGAGTGGGAATTGAGGCCCCCATAGTGAGGGATGGAGGGAGAAAAGGAGCGAGTCACGTGGGGCTGGGGCTGCTGCCCAGCCCAGACAACGCTCGGAGCTGGAATGCGCAGTCACAGGGCCCAGGCAGGGAGCAGGATGGAGATGCGGGTGGCTCATTGCAGGAGATAGAGGGCACGTGACCCCCAGATTTGTGCATGGGGCAGATGTGGGCTGTTTGCTGTAGGCTTAGGCTTCCTGCTCTGCAGCACTACAGGTAGGACTCAGCATGGCAAGGCAGAATAGGGCTGGGCAGGGAAGCTCAATACTGCTGCTGCAAGCCCAGCGCTGCCATGGGGAGGCATCCCCTGCCCACCTGGCAGCAGCACGAGGCACAACTCCATGCCACCACCCCTGCTGCTGGTGGGTGGGCAGGGGGTGCCTCCCCATGGCAGTGTGGGGCTCATGCTGGCAGCACTGAGCTTGGAACCTCCCTGCCCTGCCCTGCCACAGGTCCCAGTTGCTGGGCTGTGAAGGCCCTGGGGGGAGGGCAGCAGGGTGGGGTGCCCTGAGCCTGCACCCCTCCATGGGCTCCACTCTAGCTGTGCTGCTTCTGGGGGGACAGGAAGCCAGGCTTCATGCTACACTCCACTAAAGCAGCTGCTGTCTCCTGCAGGCAGTGACCAGGACTTGGGCACTGCTGTATGGGACAGGGGGCTGCACACCTGGTTCTCTGGCCCTATAGCCCTGGCAGTGGGGCCTCCCTCATCCAGCAGAGCTGGGGGGCACCTTGCTGTGGGTGGGGTGATGGATTTTGGCATTAAAAATCAGAAAATTAATGAATTTTAAATAGAGGCAACCAGGATCCCTGGTGATCAGAAACTGGTTCAAATCTGTAACCAAAACAAAGTTCAGTGCTCTTAAACCACTTTCAAAATAGCTGAAACCAGTTTAAGATATACCTGAATGGATGTAGCATCAGACTTAACTGATTTAGGTTAAATTGGTTTATTGACCTTCTGTCCCAGATCCCCTCCACATTCAAGCGGTCTGTTCCAGCCAAGAAGGGAGGCAGGCTCTAACACCCCTTGGCTTCTGGCAGACATGTGGCTACATTTCTGGAATCAAAAGTGAATGTCTGTTCACTTGCTTAAATCAGTTCCATCTACACATTTCTGGAATGGGCTCCCGAGGGAGGTGGTGCTCTCCCCTACCCTGGGGGTCTTCAAGAGGAGATTGGATATGCATCTAGCTGGGGTCATCTAGACCCAGCACTCTTTT